CCGGGGTTTTTCCGGGCCTTCACATCTCTACTTTTTACGCAATGGAGACCCAGCGTAGCTGACAACATTTCCCTCTTCTCCATTCTATCCTCATGACAACGGCAAATCTATGGAGGTAGCGTGTGAGGAGTGTGTGCGACTGGCCCTAGGTCACCAAGACAGCGTGGGGTTTTGAACCTGGGTCTGGCAGATCCTAGTCCAGACACTGTAAACACAACACCATGGTGGCTCTCCCCCCAGTGAAGACCCAAAGTGGGTTATCCCATTGGTCTCCCCTCCTCCATCTTATCCTTCACAACAACCACAAAGAGGTAAATGAAGCTCAAGGGTGGCGGGTCCTTGGTCACCGGGCAAGAGTGGGGATTCAGACCCAGCCGTCTTAGACTATAATGCAACTCTTTAGCCACTATGGCACACTGTGCCTGAGTGCGTAGGTATCAATGTTCCCTCTAAGCTGTAGAGTCCTGTGAGCAAAAATTCTACTTTGTGAGCTACCGGCATTAAAGTTGTGAGCAGGTGATTTGGCTACTGCATAAATTAGCGTGTTCTGGAGCCATCCTTCCTGAGCTGAGACAAAAATGTGTGAGCCGGAGGCTAAAAAACTGTGAGCTAGCTCACACTAACTCAGCTTAGAGGGAACACTGGTAGGTATATTTAGAATTCTATTAATAGGAACTTGAAAGCTGGACTGTAGCCTTGAAAAAGAGGCTCCCTGTGGGCTTTTGATGGTGGTATGAAAAAGGCTCTTTATGGTGCTGCTATTGATGATAAAAGCTGCCGGCACCTGGGTTTTGGCCCCTGAGTAACACAGAGTGTTGGACTGGATGGGCCATTGGCCTGATTCAACATGGCTTCTCTTATGTTTGGTGTAGTGGTTAAGTTTGGTGTAGTGGTTAAGAGCGGTGGACTCCAATCTGAAGAACCGGGTTTGATTCCCCACTCCTCCACATGCAGACAGCTGGGTGACCTTGGGTCAGTCAGAGTTCCCTCAGAGCTGTTCTCTCAAGAGCAGTTCTCTCAGAACTCTCTCAGCCCCACCTACTTGTGGGGAGAGGAAGGGAAGGAGATTGTAAGCCACTCTGAGACTCCAAGTCTTCTCCTCCTCCTCCTCCTGTTCTGTTTTTTAGTGCTGCTTTTTAATACTCGTGTAGCCTCTAATTTTGGTGTGCTGCGGTTACAGCTTTTTGTGGGGGGCAGCTGTTTGAAATAATTATAATCAGCTGCTTGGTTTTAGTAATCTTATGCAATTTGTGATTTTTCCAGTTGATTAGATGCGTCTTTATGACATTTTATGTTTACATTGCAATCAGCTACTTGATTTTATACATTCACTGCTGCTTGTGATTTTTGTTGTTTACATTGCAAATCACCTCATTGTACTAGAGCAGAGGTCCACAACATGGTGCCCTCCACTTGCCAGGTAGCACACTTTTCTGGCAACCGCCATTTGCCAGATAGGGCTTTTGCCCAGCAAGTCAGCACCTGCCACCACAGCTGAAGGACCTCACTGTGTTATAGAAGGTAAGCTGCAGCAATCATTTTGCAGCGGCCATTTTGTGGCAGCCATTTTGTCACTGTGCCCCCCAAGCCATGATAGAATTCCAAAGGTGCCCACAGGCTCATAAAACTGGCGACCCTGTACTAAAGATCTGAGGTATATACATTCCTGGAAGGCAAGCAGAGGTCCATCAGTGGCTATTAGCCACACAGTATAAATGGAGCATTATATCTGGGGCAGTGACACTCTGTATTCTTGGTGCTTGGGGGGGGCAACCGTGGGAGGGCTTCTGGAGTTCTGGCCCTGATGGTGAACCTCCTGATGGCACCTGGGTTTTGGTCACAGTGTGGCACAGGGTGTCAGACTGGATGTGCCATTGGCTTGATCTAACATGGCTTCTCTTACACTCTTATGTTCTTCAGTCATCAAATCTTGAGCTGTGTAGGTGTAGGCTGTAGCCTGAGGCAGCCCACCAACCCACCTGAGGCAGCCCACCAACTAGGCAGCCCCAACTAGAGGGTGGGGCACCAGAGGCACTGAAAAGCAGACATCCCTGTAGGACCCCCCAGTCCTGCCACAGGTAGCCAAGCCAGGTAGGCGGCTCAGGGCTCATTTGTGGCAGCCATTTTGTCACTGTGCCCCCCAAGCCATGATAGAATTCCAAAGGTGCCCACAGGCTCATAAAACTGGCGACCCTGTACTAAAGATCTGAGGTATATACATTCCTGGAAGGCAAGCAGAGGTCCATCAGTGGCTATTAGCCACACAGTATAAATGGAGCATTATATCTGGGGCAGTGACACTCTGTATTCTTGGTGCTTGGGGGGGGCAACCGTGGGAGGGCTTCTGGAGTTCTGGCCCTGATGGTGAACCTCCTGATGGCACCTGGGTTTTGGTCACAGTGTGGCACAGGGTGTCAGACTGGATGTGCCATTGGCTTGATCTAACATGGCTTCTCTTACACTCTTATGTTCTTCAGTCATCAAATCTTGAGCTGTGTAGGTGTAGGCTGTAGCCTGAGGCAGCCCACCAACCCACCTGAGGCAGCCCACCAACTAGGCAGCCCCAACTAGAGGGTGGGGCACCAGAGGCACTGAAAAGCAGACATCCCTGTAGGACCCCCCAGTCCTGAATCACCTCATTGTACTAGAGCAGAGGTCCACAACATGGTGCCCTCCACTTGCCAGGTAGCACAATTTTCTGGCAACTGCCATTTGCCAGATAGGGCTTTGGCCCAGCAAGAGGCACTGAAAAGCAGACATCCTTGTAGGACCCCCCAGTCCTGCCAGTCCTGCCACAGGTAGCCAAGCCAAGCCAGGTAGGCGGCTCAGGGCTCATCTACTCGACTAGCCACTGGCCGGCCAGCAGCTTGGGGTACATCTGGGGGGGGGGCAGGCCTTGGGTGACAAAAGGAAATCATTTTGCATGTACTCAGGGGCACTGTCCCTTCTTGCAGCTTCATATTTTCCAAGGCTTAATCCACAGTGGTAGCACTGCAAGCGATTTTCTTTAAAACGGCAGCTTCCATAGACTGACTGTATCTTGTGAACTGTATCTTAGTCATATCCCTCAGGACATTTTCGTACTCACATAGGGTTGCCAAGTCAATTTTTCTTACCGGCGAGGGAGCCTTGCCGGGCTCCGGGAGCCGTCACTGGATTTGTGCACACGCGTGCCACCACTTGTGAACTGTATCTTAGTCATATCCCTCAGGACATTTTCGTACTCACAGGAAAGATGAGTGAAGCTTTACAAGAATGTTTTCCCACTCTATATGTGTTTAAGTACAAAATAAGGACATTAATTGGTAGTAGGGATTTGTGAGCAGAAAGTCAAGGGGGAATAATTCTTCCTGATCTGATAATCCAGAAAAAGGGAGTATTTGGTCAGTCAGCTTCCTTCACTGATTTTGAAGAATGAGCTGATATTTCCAGTGCCTTTTTCAGCCCGGGCCCCATAGTTACACTGACGGATCTCAAACTTTCCCCTTCTTCACTTAGGATTGTAAGAATTTCCGTGCAGAATCACACTGAGGCCCATCTAGCCTAGTTTCCAACAGCTACGGTGGGGCTGTGGCTCTGTGGCAGAGTCTCTGCTTTGCATGCAGAAGGCCCCACGATCAACCTACAGCATCTCCGCTAGTGTGCCTGCACACGAAAGCTTGCACCCAGAATTAAATTGTGTTGGTCTTAAAGGTGCCCCACTGGACTTATATTTTGTCATGTTGCTTCAGACCAACGTGGCTGCCCACCTGAATCCAGTTAAAAGGACCACCGGGTGTGAAAGACTTCTGCATGAGACCCTGGAGAGTTGCTGTCAGTCAGAGTAGACAATGCTGACCTTGATGGACCAAGGGTCTTACTCGGCATACAGATAACTTTGGGAAGTTCCCAAGAACAGCATGAAGTGCTCATATGGCAGTGGGTGTAGTACAGCCAGGAGAACAAAAGGTAGTCTGGCACCGTGAAACTCTACCTCTTTTTTTTGTGTGTGTGTGGAGAGCTAGGTTTATTTTGGGGGCGAAGAGAATTGTGACTGACCCAAGGTCACCCAGCTGGCTTCAAGTGGAAGAGTGGGGAATCAAACTCAGGTCTCCAGATTAGAGTCCGCCACTCTTAACCACTACACCACTCTCCCGACCCTGTATGGTTGTCCAGCAATTTTTAGGTTCCCTTGCTTGAAAGCCAGTCGAATCCGACTAGGGTTGCGGTGCTCATCTCCGTTTCAAAGCCGAAGAGCCAGCGCTGTCCGAAGACTTCTCCGTGATCATGTGCCCAGCATGACTAAACACCGAGGTGCCCGGAACGCTGTTACCTTCCCACCGAAGTGGTACCTATTTATCTACTTGCAATTTCTTGCTTTCGAACTGCTAGGTTGGCAGGAGCTGGAACTAGAGACGGGAGCTCACTCCGTCATGCAGCAACTCGGGTCTCAAACTGCTGAACTACCGACCTTCCACAGCCTGCAGTTCAGCGTCTTAACCACTTGAGCCACCGTAGCTCCTTGTCCAGCAATACACTATCCCTATACAGGAGCACACATACATGGAAAGCAAGAAGCTGCCTTTTATAGTGAACCAGACCACTGGACAAGGTCATTCTTGCTTACTCTGACTGGCAGGGGCTCAGGTGGAGGTCACATCACCTCCTACCTGGCTCTTTTAAATGGGAGATGCTGGAGATTGAACCTGGGACCTTCTGACGACAAACCATGGACTCTACCTTCGGTTACCAACCTCCTGGTGGGGTCTGAGGATCGCCTGGATTTACAAGTGATCTCCAGACTACAGAGATCAGTTCCCCTGGAGGAAACAGCTGCTTAGGAGGGTGGATTCGATGGCGTCTCACCCTGCCCTCCCTAGGCGTCACCCCCTAAATCTCCAGGAATTTCCCAAAGTGGAGTTGGCAACCCTAGCTGTACTGCTGAGCCACAGTCCCCCTCCCTGAGGATATGCTGAGTCCCCACAGCTCTTGAAGCAATCTATCAAAGATTATCCTCTTCGTTAAATCAGGGATGATCCTCCATCCTGAACAAAGTTGGGAGTCCAGTGGCATCTTTAAGACCAATAAAGTTTAATTCTGGGTATAAGCCTTCGTGTGCATGCACATAAAAACTTAGAATAAATATATGGTGGTCTTAAAGGTGTCACTGGACTCAAGACTTCATTGTGCTTTCAGACCCAACCCGCCTACTCACCTGAATCGATCCTCCACACTTTTATTTATGATTTTGGTTCTGTTTCGATTTTACAAAAAGAATCCCACTCCACCCCCTCCCCGGTTCGTCCCTCCTGCTCGTTCAACTGAAGAGCAATGCCACAGTCGGACCACTCCTCACCTGTTCATACTTCTCCAGCTCCGAGTGGTAGATCTGGCGGATCTGGGAGAGCTTGTTGCGATAGTCGGAGTGCTCGATGGAGTTGTCCGGGGACACCCCTCCTGCAGCGGCGGCAGCTGCAGCGGCGGCAGCCCCCTTCTCGGGCCCAGCCACCCCCTCAGCAAGGAGCATATTGTCCAGGCGCATCAGCTGGGGGTCCACAGGTTCTTCCTCCTGGGAACTTCGGATGCTCAGTCCTAAACAGGGGGAGAGGAAAGAGTTAACAGGTCAGGCAGGGGCCCCCCCCACACACACACACACAAAGTGCCCTCCACCTTCCCCCGTGGGCGGGTGTCCCCTCCCTCCCCTCCTGGTGCCTCCTTCCTCTCTTGTCGCTTGGCAGGAGACTAGGTCACTGCTAGGTCATTGCCATGGCAACCGCGGGCCCAGAAACGGGGTAGCAGTTTTTTGGCACACACGGAGATATTGGGGGGGGGAGAAGGAGAGTGGAGTGCATACCCGCCCGAAAGCCAGGAAAGGAAAGCCAAATTAGTTATATTGAGAGCAAAAAAAAGGGGTGGGTGGGGAGATGCAGCCCCACGCAGCCTCCGGCCCGAGATGGTCATCTTTGGAATGGAAGACAAAGGATTGCACCTGCTCTTTTTATTTTGTCTTGACGAGCAGCCTGGCCCACTGAAATCTAGGGGGTGACGTTTCCCCTGGTAGATGGAGAAGGGGTGGGGAAAAGTTTCGCCTGCTAGCGAAACTAGTGAAAAGCCTGTCAGAGAGTCCACGGCCAGCCTCATAGTATAGTAAGCTTATTATGAAACAATGCAAAATAACCACGGACAAATTGGATATTGCCTTGCCACCTCTGGGCTGTGAAACTCCTGGAAATCTGGAGGGTAGGGGGGACACCTCGGTGGGGTAAAAGGCCACAGAGTCCACCCTCCAAAGCACACATTTTCTCCAAGTGGACTGTAGTCTGGAGATGAGCTGAAATCCTGGGAAATGTCCAGACCCCACCTGTTGGCCACCCTGACTGGATCAGGTGGGGGTATAGGGAGGGCTGCTGGTGTGTGTGTGTGTGTGGGGGGGGGTTATAGTAGGACACGAGCAACAATGGAGTAAAGAAGGTCGCCAAATGGTGGCCTGCTCCAGTCGGTTTAACTGACGTTTAACTGGAAGAAACCAGCAAATCAAACTTTCCCTGGCAGGGGCCTGTTAAGTTTGATCACCTGTTAATGGCTGCAGACCACACTGTGGCTAAAGGCCTGGGGCTCTGAGGCAGGAGGCGAAGTGGGCCTGAAGGAAGTTGCGTGGCTGCAAAAGTCAAAGACGAAACAAGAGCGCAACCCACACATAATGCTGTTTATGAGGACTAACAAAAGGGCACATAACAGCCGGCTAGTGTTGCCAGGTCCCCCCTGGGGATGGGGGGGTGGGTAGGGTGGCCAGATCCATGTTGGGGATTTGGGGATAGAACCTGGGAAGGACAAGGATCTCTCAGCGGGGCACAATGCCACAGAGTCCACCCTCCAGAGCATCCATGTTCTCCATGGGAATTGATCTCTATAATCTAGAGATGAGCTGTAATTCTGGGGGGTCCCCAGCTCCTTCCTGGAGGCTGGCATTCGGTGGGCAAGCTTTTTTGTTAACTGGAATGCTTCTTCAGGCTGGGTGTTGAACCCCCACACCCCCCAGTATAAAAAGAGTTTTGGGAACAAAGAATGCCTCAGGACGTGAGGGGGCCTTAAGGTACTCTATAGCATGAAGCATGAAGGGAACAGAGGGAGGGAGGCTGGAAGAGCCAGTGCCCCCCTCCCATGTGCCTAGAGTCAGCCTGAGACAATTTGGGTGCCTGAGGCCTAGAAACCAACCGGCTCCCCCCCAAGACAGACAGACAGACAGACAGACAGACACACACACACACAGAGGCTTGATTCAAACATGACACAGGCAGAACAGAAGACAGGCCCATATAAGGTTGCCAAGTGGATCTTCGCCGGGAGCAGGGGGCTCCCGTCCAGCGTCTGGTGCACGCGCACGTCACCTGGAAGTGACGGGAGGACGCCAGGCACGCTGGGGGCGGGGCCATGGTCATACAAGGGAAACCATAGAGTTTTCCCTTGTATGGCCGTGGCCCCACCCCCAGCGTGCCCGGCGTCCTCCCGTCACTTCCGGGTGACGCGCACGTCGGGGAGGAGTTCCCCCTGGGGCCCCCTGAGGGAGCCCACCAACCCACCTGAGGCAGCCCACCATAGAGTTTTCCCTTGTATGGCCGTGGCCCCGCCCCCAGCATGCCCGGCGTCCTCCCATCACTTCCAGGTGACGCGCACGTCGGGGAGGAGTTCCCCCCAGGGCCCGATCCAGCGACGCCGGGGAACGGGCCTCTGGGGCGGGGGTTTCCCCGCCCCCTGGGGGGACTTGGGATCCCTAGGCCCATACCACCTTTGCACACAACCCTTCATGTTGGTTCCTCAGATGTTATCTGCACGGTACAAATACTCTAAACATCTGTAGCCCTGACCTGAATGGCCCAGGCTAGGCCAATCTTGTCAGATCTCGGAAACTAAGCAGGGTTGGCCCTGGTTCTAGTGCTCGGATGGGAGATCACCAAGGAAGTCCAGGGTCACTACACAGAGGCAGGCAAGGGCAAAACCACCTCTGCACATTTTATTTATTTATTTATGTCAGTTTGTATCCCCGCCCTCCCCGCCAAGGCAGGCTCAGGGCGGCCTCCATTAAAAGTTAAAATACGTTAAAAACCATTCATCAAACACAATACACATCATAAAAACTCATAAACATACAAATAACAAGTAACAGTAAGTGCAGTTAAAAGTGCTAGTGGCGGTATATCCTGATCTCTACAGGCCATGGTGTGTAGCCAATGTAACAAAAACATATAGCCAGAGGTTGTTGCCATGGGGTTGTAGGGTTGCCAAGTATTACCTTTCGCTGGAGCGGGGGACTCCTGGCTCTTTCCTGGAGCGCCGCAACCACGTCACCCGGAAGTGACGTGATCATGCTGGGGGCGGGGCCACGACCATCCGAGGGGAAACCATAGAGTTTTCCCTCAGATGACGTTGGGCCCGCCCCCAGCGTGCCTGGCGTGGTTGCGTCACTTCCGGGTGACGTGCACGTCATGTACTTTGGGGGTGGGGTTCCCCCCGGGGCCCGATCCACCGGCAGCGGGGAACAGGCCTCTGGGGCGGGGGTTTTCCCTTGTATGGGGGGACTTGGCAAGCCTATGGGGTTGCCATGAGTCGGCTGCAACTTGATGGCACTTTTTTACCACCCCCAAAGTTCTGTAACCCAGGCAAGCACAACTATTAGATACCCAGCAAGACTGCATACGCAGCAGTGCACCTTAAATAAGATACCAGATATGTCCTGTGCTGCACAGGTAAGATCGTCTTCCCCCTCAGCCAGTTGTACTTTCAGTACATATGATTTTGGTACTCCTACCTCACATATCGGGAGAGCACACTGTATGTGATCCTCTCCATGCGTGTATACAGTTCTGTCTGAATAGCCCCACACAGATAGGTTCCAGCTCTGGAGCCTGCAAGAATCTGGGTTTCTGATTGCGTGTACCAAAGCTGTAAAATGTACGTGTTGCCTTATTCACATGTGACTGAGAAGATTGTTCCGGATACGCAAATTAGGAATGCAAATACCCTCAAGAATATGGGTTTCTGATTGTGTGTACCTAAGCTGGAAAATACACACGTTGCCCTATTCACACATGTACTGAGAAGATTACTCCCAATATGCAAGCTAGGAACGCCAAAATCGTAGGACCAGGTTTCAAATCATATAGTCAGCCTAATCTACCTTATGGAGTTGTTGTATATGAGGACAGGAGAACCATGTATACTATTAGGATCACAGGGAAGAAGAAGAAGAAGAGATTGGATTTATACCCCGCCCTTCACTTGGAGTCTCAGAGCGGCTTACAAACTCCTTTCCCTTCCCCTCCCCACAACAGACACCCTGTGAGGTGGGTGGGGCTGAGAGAGCTCTGACGCAAACTGCTCTTTTTCAAGGACAGCTGTGCCAGAGCTTGTGACTGACCCAAGGTCACATCAGCAGGTGCAAGTGGAGGAGTGGGGAATCAAAACCGGTTCTCCCAGATTAGAGTCTGCACACTTAAGCACTACACCAAACTGGCCCTCCTGAGTGACCCATCTATTAAAAACCCTCCTCTGGTGAGCACATGCGAGAGGGCCTTTTCAGTGGAAGCCCCCTTGTTATGGAACAACCTTCCCAGGAAGGCACGCCTGGGCCCCTCACTTTCGATCTTTAAGAGGCCGTTGAAGACAGCTTTATTTAGGACTGCATTTCATTATGTTTACCAGCAGTCCTAAATTATGATTTTAAATTCTGGTTTTCAACGTATTTAAAATGCTTGACGCTCGTGTGGTTACAGCATGGGAACGGGGCCCCCCCCCCCACAAGCCACCGGCCCAATGCAACTTTTCCTGGTGTATTTAATGGCCAATTCACCCCTTGCCCATAGACCAGATCTGTCCAGCTTCCACTCAACTACCATTAATGGCACGCAAAATCCACTGTCACATGTCAGGACTGTCTTGGGCTCTGCTACCACGAAGCGTAGGAGAGTCCGTCTTCAGCCAAAGAGTGATTAACAGGTGGAATTCACTGCCGCAAGAAGTGATGGCAGCTACAAGCATGGTTTCAAGTTGGATAAAAACATGGGAGCGGAGGTCCATCAGTGGCTGTTGACCACAAGGTATACATGGAACACTACGTCTGGGGCAGTGATGATCTATATTCTAGGTGCTTGGGGGGGGGGCAACTGTGAGAGGGCTTCTGGAGTGCTGGCCCCACTGGTGGGCCACCTGATGGCACCTGTGTTTTGGCCACTGTGTGACACAGAGTGTGGGACTGGATGGGCCACTGGCCTCATCCAACATGGCTTCTCTTATGTTCTTAAGATCAGGAGTGCATTAAGGTTGCATCCACATAGACTGGAGTTCCCATTCTGAATTCCTTGCCACTGTAAATGCAGAATGATTTGCACTGGCAAACTGGCAACAGAGCATCCATGTGTGCATTTTATCTGTATTTTTTCCTATCAGCTGCCATGTTCCTTGAATTTTCTCTCTGCAGCACCACTGGGGGGCACCAGTCCACATCACTGCTATAGTGGTATAGCAATTACTCTTAGTTCTAAAGCCCTCTAGTGGCACAGTGAGAAAAATGTTGACCATGAGGGCATGACAAAAGG